GGTAGAGCCTGACACTCTTATTCAGACATGTTTTGTTATTAGCTTCCAATTCTTGACGTGTCTGAGACAGAGACAAGCTAGGAGTCTTAGTGAATATACCCACTTTAAAAAGGTTGTGGATAGATGGGACAATCCATATGAGAATAACTGAACAATGTGCATCTGCAATCATTGAATTTTTAAAAAAATATATTTTATTGTTTTTTTTAAACATAATCACTTAATAATTGGTGAACAGTGTGTTGTCAGGGTTATATTTGTAAAACAATCATTAACAATTGATTTCTATAATCCATAATCCACATAATGGTTTTAGTTGTTTTCCTCTTTTCCCAAAATATCCTCTTTTGCAAATATTGAATTAATACAATTCTTATTGTTGATAGATAACAGTTAAATATATATTTTTCCCAATATTTTTAAAAATAATAATCACATCAATATAATATTTCTTTTCTATCCAATCATTCTGGTTACCTTATCATAGATCCCGTTACAGTTCTTATTTTAATTTGTTTCTCCAATCAAATTCTAGGTATTCTTACTGGTTAAGATTTTCTCTAGGGTGGACTTAAGGTACCAAATTTGAAATTATATTACGATGCGGTGGTCTTAACACTAATCAGTGATTGGGTAAATTTGACAAATCCTGAGATACTTCATTTAGAGGGATGGGATTTACTTTATGGGTGGCATGCCTATTTAATATTTAATAAAAAAATGGACTGGGTCTTTAAATCTCATATTTTAAGAATTTCTTTACTTAGGATTTGGAGAAAATATTATAAAAGTGATTTTAAAGTTCCATTATGGGCTATACCTTGGCATGCGATAGAAGGAATAAAAAGAGGAGTAAAAATGGACATGGTGTCTTATAGTCAGTTACTTAGATGGGATGGGCAAAACTGGCAGTTAAGATTACGGGAAGATTTAGCGCAAGAAAATATTATTTATTCTTGGTTTCAATATAGGCAACTAGTAGATAAATGGAAGGTGGATTGTAAATTGGGTTTTCTTAGAGAAGATGGAAATCTTATTAAGCAAGTCAAGGATCAAAGACAAACCCATATCAAGAGAATTTATGGGGTATTAGTTGAAATGGACTCAGAAACGGAATTAATTAAAGATTGTATGATTAGATGGGCGCAGAATTTTGGTGTCCCAGTCTCATTGGACATTTGGGAAACCATTTGGGTGAGAAATGTCAAATTTACACAAGCACAGAACCTTAGGGAGAATTTTTATAAAATGTTTTATAGATGGCACCTTGATCCACAAAAAATGTCTCTTATGTACCCTGACGTGCAACCCAAATGTTGGAGATGTGGTTATAAGGATGCTTCCTATTATCATATTTGGTGGTCATGCAGAGAGATAAAAGCATTTTGGATCAAAATATGGTGGAATATCCAGAGAATTTTTAGAAGGAGGGTAAAATTTACTCCGCAATTATTTTTGTTAGGCATTGTTACAGATTGTGATACAAAGGAGGTTGTATTGATGTTAAATTTGATTACAGCCGCTAGGCTGTTAGTAGGACAATATTGGAAGAAGGAATCTTTGCCTACATTGCAGGAATGGTTTCTTAAAGTAGCTTATCTGGCGGAAATGGCAAAGATTTCGGCTTTCTTAAAGCAACAAACGCAAGAGAAGTTCCTTGCTGTTTGGGACAAATGGATAAAATTTATACAATTTAGATTGGGTATACAAAAATATCACATAGCTTTTTTATAAGTTTTATTTTTATATATATAGATAGATATTTTTTTATATATATATATAAATATAAATTTTTTAATTTAATTTTTTATTTTTATTTCTTAATTTTTAATTAAGCCTATATTCTGCTCTGGGAAGCTCAGGGGGGGGGAAGGGAGGGTTTTTGTGAGGGGTGGGGGATGGGGGGGGGTTATATATATGTAATGTTTAGTTTCTTTTTTGTATATGTTGTCTTTTGTTTTGTATTGTTTTTGTCTTTTTGTAAAATTTATAAAACTTTCAATAAAAAAAAAAAGATTTTCTCAAAAATTAATTACATTTAAAATTTTAACTCTATTTTTCCATATGAACCATCTCACACTTTTACATTTCTTAAGGAATAGATAAAACAATGAAAAAAGAAAGAAAGGAGAGCAAGAGTAAAGAAACATAAAAAATAACATACTACTTAAAATATGTATCCCTCCTAAGCTAATATATATTTATTTCATAAATTTCTTATTCTTTTTAACCATAATTAAAAATATGTTTAATCTTTAAACATTCCATTTAATACATCTAGTCACTAGTCCTTTAACTCTTATTCAAAACATTTTATCCATTATAATTTTCTTAAATTCAATCACATTTAAGTATCTAAAACATTTCCTTTATCTAAGTCATTTCAACTTTTTTATATTACTCATATCAAGAAAGAGAACAAGAAAGGGAAAAAAGCATACTCTATTATTTAGAGAATTCATCCCTCTTAGAATGACATATGTATTCCAAAACGTTTCTATTTTTTTAACCATATTCAAACAAATGTTTCTTTTTTAAGTATTCTCTTTGGTAAGTCCCATCATTTATTTTTTTGGTTTCCACTTTAGTCTTTTTCCTTTGCCCAGTATCTTTCTTAATCAATGTATTTTGTTGAATCAAAAAGGTTTTCCATAGGTTCGTAAATGTTGGTGTACATATAAAAAGTAAATCAGGTGAAGTGTCTTTGTATGGAGCTTCTGCCTTTCCATGTTTGTTGAAAATCTTTTTCTTTCTCTCCGCTTCTCTTATCATTTCCTTTCTCTCCAATGTTCCTAACATCTCTACAGTCCATTTTATCCAATCTATGTTCTTGTCCTCAGATTTATTTTGTAGTCTTAAGGAATAAGTTGTTTTTTCCAATTCTTGTGAATTTTTTCCCATTAGCGGTCAATGCTGCAAATACTGTATATTCTTGCTTTGACAATATGCAAAACTGTCTGGTAATTACTGGGTTAATACACAGCTTAGAGTGGGGGGGGGGAGAAAAAGCCCGGGAAAGAAAGAGGAAGTAAACTTTTGACCTTCACACTAATTGGATAATGTGATTTGTGACTGCAAGACAAGGGAGGGGTTTAGCAAGAAAAGGTTGATGCCAGCGACAGGAAGTCAGATTCTGGCATCAACACGTCCATGATGGTGACCGGCAGAATTGTAGCTCTGTAATAAAGACTTTAGGAAACATGCCTGAAAGTTCTTTGAAGTGCTTCATTAGTCGGAACCTGTGACATTAGCATTAAATCATGTTTCCTTGTTTTGTTAAGTTCCATCTTTAAGTCTCTATTCTAAATTCTATATCCATTTATCTGTTTTATCTTCTCCTTCTCTGTTGTTGTTTTCTGGGAATTTTTTTGTTGTAGAGTTAACTTAGAAATAGATTGATTTATATTTTCATAGTTATTTTGGATTTCTTTGTGGTTTAAAGTCATTGTTGTTTGAATTAGTTGCACTATACTATATATCTCCTCCTGTGAAGTATTTATGTTTTCTTGATATATTCTTTTTACATGTCTCTGATCTATGATGGCCAAGATTTTAAATTTTACTCTTCCTTTCTTTTCTCTGCAAATAGCTTTAGAGTCCCAATTAAATAGATATTTGTAATCCAAATAGTTCAAAAAAGATTTTCATATGATCTTGATTCTATTCCTTTGTTAATGCAGCCTAGCACTGTGTTAGCTTTTTTGGCAGCTGCAGCACACTGCTGGCTCATACTTAAGTGATTTTCCACTAGGATTCCGAGATCCCTCTCACAATTACTACTATTGAGCAAGATACCCCCTATAACTGTACCTGTGCATTCAGTTTTTCTTGCCTAAATGTAGAACCTTGCTTTTTTCGCCATTGAATTTCATTTTGTTAGATAGCACCCAATGTTCAAGTCTGTCAAGATCCTTCTGTATCTTAAGCCTATCTTCTAGAGTGTTGCTGCCAGTTTGGTGTCATCTACAAATTTGATGAGTTCCCTATCTATCCCCTCATCCAAATCATTGATGAAGATGTTGAAGACTACTGGACCTAAAACAAACCTTGGGGTACCCCACTGTCTACTTCCCTCCATGTAGATGCAGTTCCATTGAGGACTACACGCTGAGTATGGCCGGTCAGCCAGCTACAAATCCATCTGCTGGTGATGCACTTAATGTTCTCTAAGTTTGAATATATTTAGAATATCATTTGTTATGGATATATTTTGCCAGGAAACTTCAGGGAAATGTTTTCTTTTTTGTTAAGAAATACTGATATTTTAAATTTACATTATGCTTTTCCTCCAGTACTTTAGTCTTTTCCAACTTTATTATTATTAATAATAATATGTATGACTGTACAGTAATTTTTCTCTACATAATAAATACCTAGTGAAGTTACAATAATAGACAAAGGCTGGCCCAAAGTCACATGGTTGGTTTCTGTTGGATTAGAACCTGGGTCTCCTTGGTCCTAGTCCAATAGCCAACAGATATTACATTGCAATAATATGAAATTTTTCTATTATTGCCCATTTTCTTGCTACTGAAATCTGTGGTTTCATGAAACTGAGTTTCAGTAGCCAGCAAAATTTTAAAACAGAATTTGTTTTCAAAATGCATTCTTGCTGTATAGCACCATCTAATGCTTATTATAATACAAAGATTTAAGAAAACCAGGTAAGTATGGACTAGTGAAGAATTTAGGTAGTGTAGCTCCTGAATTTATTGAACTGTGCATCTATTTGTTCTGTATCACAGGCAAAAACATCTGAAGTATGGATTGATGATTTTAGTGTTTGACATGTTGGTTTCTTCCACAAAACCCTAATATAGGACACAAATTTAGTCAGTACTGTTTGTCTAGTACATTAGAAATTCAATCATTAAAAGGTGCTGAAGGGTACAGATGGATGTAACAGCAAGAAACCTTCTGAAAGTCTATTGTGATATTTCCTTATTCATTTATGTACTTTGTTATCTGCTCCACATCTGTCTGCTACTTTTCTCTGACAGGTAAGCTGCAAAGTGCTTCAGTTTTTTCACCAATATACAATGGGCTGTAACTACTTCTGGATGCTTTGTGAAGGAATATATCTTCATACACTGATTGTGGTGGCAGTATTTGCTGAAGAACAGCGCTTGCATTGGTATTACCTCCTGGGTTGGGGTATGTGATCTTCCATCCAGTTGTTAAAATATTTCCTTTCGTCTCAGAGTTTTTAAAGTAATTGGCACTTTGACTCATAGAATATCCACAGAAAAAGATAGCTCTTATAAGTTATTATGCAAAAAATGTATAGTATCTTTATACAAATGAATGAGAGTCAATATGGCAGATTGGAGCAGTATGGTGGCTAAGATGCTAACACTAGACAAACACACATGAAAGTCAGTTGGAAGACTTTGGGATTTGTTTTTATATAGTCTCCATTCACAAATGAGTCCATTTACAATTACTAGTTTTCAGGACCAGTCCTATCATCAGACAGTATAAAGCAAATGGTTAATTTAATTATTAATTTACTTTTCCCGCCAAGGGGAGTCTAGTAGATGTTTTGGCTTCAGATGTCAAAGAAATTTGATTGGCTTTAGGATTACTTGATCTTTGGTTTGAGTGATTGAGGAGCATCACACTTAATACATTAGCCATTGTTGTACACTGTACTTATCTCATCATTAAAAGCTAAGAGATAGTTGGTGGTCAGCTTGCACAGTTGCTTTTTTGTGAGACTATATTTCTGGGGGTGACCTTTAGCTCTTTTAAGATGTGTAGATGGAAAAAAAATCCATACAAATAGGATAACAGCTTTTAAAGTTACCTCAGTGATCTGCTCCAGCTCTGGAGTCCAAGTCAAGGTGAATTTGATAGCTCATATTTATTTCAAGAAATGTATCTCAGCCAACCCTAGAAGCTTTATCATATAAAATGTTGTTTAGTCCATTTTTTATTTCTTCAAATATAATTTAACAGTGATTTGCCAAGGCAATGTTAAAGCAAAATGCATGGTAAAAAATGTTTGTGATATCAATCTTAATTCCACAACAATTTCCATCAGTGCTCACATCTCTTAAACAGATAAAGCTTGTTCATCTTCAGTAACAGCCTTTTGAAAAGGAGATGTTTGAAACACTGAAGATAGTGCTTAAGCTTTCTTCATAAACTATGGGACATTGCGTTCAAATTTCCTCAGCTTGTAAAGAACATTGAGTTGCATAAAAATACATTAAAAGGGAAGTATTGTTGAGTGGCAAAACATTTATATGCCTACAGGAGACCCATAGGTCAATCTCTTGACTTACCCAGTTAAGGCTAATTCGACAGTAGATAAGTGCCACTGTCAGTTGGAATGGATCTGAGTCTATCTCACAGTAGCCACCAGGCTCACTGCCTTATTTGACTCTTTCAGTTTTTCACGATAGCTTTAAAACAGCTATCAGCTGATTTAAATCTGATTGAACAAGGTTAAGAATTGGAGGTCACCATTCAAATCCCTATCTAGTTATGCAATTCATTTTTATTGTTGTTGTCGTCATTGTGGTCAATTAACATGTCTGTTTAACTTTTCACTAATGCATAACTTTGGCTAACTATGGCAGGATATAAATGTATGTAGAACAATCCAGATTGAGACTGCATGCTAGAATAAGCTAATTCTCATAGTAGCAGCAGTCTGAAAATGGAACCAATTACTAAGTTCCTCCTCACTGAATCTGTCAGGTAGAAATTGGATGATCTTCTGCTGGGAATAGTTTGATTGAATACATGCAGGATATTAGTTCAAACTTTCCTTTCCAACCCCGTGTCTCTATGAAATACCTATACATGCCTATAATTGAATCCAAAATAATAATAAATCTGATATATATAATTTATTATTCTAGGTTTTCCTTTAGTGCCGGCATCAATTCATGCTGTGGCCAGAGCCAGATATTTCAATGATAAGTAAGTATTGTGCTACTTTATATAAAGCTTAATTAGTATCTGTTAATATATATATATAATTTCATTATTTAATTTATTTATTTTCTTCCAGATGCTGAATTAATGTTGACACATATTTAAAACTTAATTGGTATATATATATATATATATATATATATATATATATATATATATATATATATACTTAATTAGATAATATATATAATTTCATTATTTAATTTATTTTCTTCCAGCTGTTGGATTAGTGTTGACACATATTTGCTGTACATTGTTCATGGGCCTGTAATGGCAGCTTTATTGGTGAGAATATTATTTGCTACTTTATTGTGAGTTCAGTACTATTCTAATTCTGCTACACTTCATTGTTCTTACTGAGATGTTTTATCACACGTTTCAGCACAGAATTCAGGACACCTAATGTTTTATAAAAAATAATCACCCAATTCCATGGTTCCTTGTGTCCTTATGACTTCTGAACCATTATCTTGACCTGAAGCAGATTTTTTTCTTCATGGCTAGAGAAGCAACTTGGATGCTAGAAATCTATCAATAACATGGCATGATAATCCAATGTTTGGAATTTAAAATGAGTGGGGATTTTTCTGAGTAGTTGGGATCTGCCTGGTATAATATATATTTATATCTTCTTCTATATCTTCTATATCTTCTTTTCCTCTTTTGATGACATATTGGGATTGGAACCAAGTAAAGAATTATTCCAGGTGAAGGCTTTTCACATGATTAGGGAAATGCTCTGAAAGACTGAGGATAAATGGATAGGTTTTGCTAAAGCTGCAAATAAAGGCAGACGGACAGATATTGCTTGTATATGCCCTCTTTTCAAACATTTTGCAAGCATCTTTGTAAATTTTAATGTTTTCTTATTGTGAGCTAAATTCTCCATTGGCTACAGATGAAAATATGAGTGATATTTTCTTTATATTGGAATATTCATATGTCTTTACCTTTGTTTATTTTTTTATAAAAATAAAAGTAACCCATTTATTTTTGTTTCAGGTCAATTTTTTCTTTTTGCTCAACATTGTACGAGTTCTGGTAACAAAACTGAGAGATACACATCGGGCTGAATCCAACATGTATATGAAAGCTGTCAGAGCCACTTTAATTCTTGTGCCCTTATTAGGTATTCAGTTTGTCATTTTTCCTTGGAGACCAGAAAATAAACTTGCTGGAGAAATATATGATTACATCATGCATATTTTAATGCACTATCAGGTATGGATTTATGATTTTTTTTTGTAGTGCTGGTAGGTTTCATTTGACAAAATAATATTTTCCCAGGAAACACAGCTGGCTTCAAATAATGGATTAGTGTCACTAAAGTCAATGAGAGTAAGTTAGCTTTACAGCAGATTAGTTGATTTGAGGGTTATTTTCCAAATAAAACAATCCACACATAAATATGTGAGATAATTTAGGCAGAGATGTTGTGCATATTAACTGAGTAAATATAGCATCTTACGGAAGATGATTTGATGGAAGCATAATTTTAGGTCTATCCCTTGTGCTTGAATTTTCCTGTAGAAATACTACCTTACACAAAAGAATGATTATGTAGGGACTTACGGTATGTGGGGAAAACTAATTTGAAGAAGAGAGAATAAACATATACCCCTCCTTCCTGGCAAATAAGTACCTGGGTAATGACTTTAATCTTCCCATCTAAAAATACATTCATGGAAAGAATAAATATTTGTACTTTCAAATCCAAAGAATACATAAAAACGTGAGTGGCAAATTGAGTCTGAATGAGAATGAGAATTGTCATTAAGTATATAATCATTTGGCATTGCTAAGTGCTTTTCCCAACACCATGGGAAGAAAACTACTTTGGCTGATAGCCCATGAATGCATTCCACTTTTTTCTGCTAGTCTGAGATGCTGCTCGTTGATCATCCTGAGAGTGCTTGGTATATATTTCCCAGTGCTTGGTATATCTTCTTCAGTGCTCCTCATGCTTCTTGAAAACTTTGAAGGCATGGCAGTGTCACCAGGATCATATGATAATGCGGGGACAAATGCAAGCTAAAACCACATGCAGCCTTTTAATTCCTTTTTTTGTGTCTTCCAAAGTGATTTAGTTACTGAAAATCATTGGCATGGTTTCTTGCTAACTTAATGGGAAACATTTTTTAAAAATCCAGTAAATGAGCATAATAAATTTGAGGGAGCTAGTTTGGTCTAGAGATTAAGGAGATTGTGACTTCTAGTTCCACATTAGGCATGAAAGTTGATTGGGTGATTTTGGGCCAGTTAATTTCACTCAGCCGACAGTGCCAAGCTTGGGCAAAAAGTCGGTCAGTCAGTTCCTATTACAATGGATCAATATTTTGTTAATACAAAAAATGTGGACCCTTCACTTTTAGGAAAATTCTAGGAAGAAAAAATACTTGGAGGGAAAGGACAAGAAAACTCAGACAATCCTGCTCAGTCCATGGAGATATGACATAGTCTTCCCATATTGTATTATCAATTAAAGATGGCCTCAGCCATCAAAGGTTTGCCCAGCTTTCCTATAGCTCTTTTGAGCAAAGAGTATCTGTATGGCAAACTTCTTTTCTTCCCTACCTACAACTTCCTGACACACCAATGTCTGTAAATAATAATGCTTTATAACAGTGATTCTCAACCTGTGGGTCGGGACCCCATTTGGGGTCGAACGACCATTTCATGGGGGTCGCCAAACAACACAGTCAGCCTTTTTTTCCCCTTTTCCTTAGCTGTGCTACTCCCTTTTATTCTTTTGGCTTTTCAAAGCCAATAGAATAGACTCTCTTGAATAGAGTCTAATTCTATTGGCTTTCAAAAGCCAATAGGAATTGTTCAGGCTGTCTCTGCCCTGCTGAGCCTGCCAAAAGTCCCATTCTGCAAACGGTGCTGCACCAATTGAGTAGTCCTCGACTTACGACCGGTTGAGTAGTCCTCGACTTACGACTGGTTGGGGGTCGCGGCATTAAAAAGGTTGAGAACCACTGCTTTATAATATACTATTGGGCTAGCCCTTTATAATATACTAATGGGCAAGCCCTTCTAGAGTTAAATAGATCAATAAAAATCTGGCATAATTTATTTTACGTATTTATATGGCAGTAATTAATTAAATAACCTTTATTGTCATTTTTTACTGTGGGCACAACGGCACACATTAAAAATGAAATTTAGTTGCTTGCTCTCAAAGTGTACATATACATATCACACATTTAAACATACTATATACAACATATGTATAGATTTACACCCTTACATATAAGTAATATATAACTATCAATCACTGTCCATCTTGGATACATAACGGAAGGAGGAAGCTTTAGAGTTCACAAGATTAATACTATATGGCACAAAACTGTGACTGAATCTGGATGTTCTGCTTTGGATATCACGAAGCCTCCTCCCAGAAGGTAACAAGGGAAACAGGTGATGGAGAGGATGTATAGTGTCCCAGACAATCTTACAGACCCTGCTCAAGCAACGCTTATGTGCTATGTCCTGGATGAAAGGGATGGAAATGCCAATGATCTTTTCGGCCATCCTCACCACTCTCTGCACCGCCTTTCTGTCTGAAACAGTGATGCTTCTAAACCAGACTGTGATGCTGTATGACAGGATGTTCTCAATCATCCCTGTGTAGAAAGTGGTAAGGATAGGGGACAGGAGATGTGCTTTTCTCATGCGATGCAGAAGATGCAGGCACTGCTATGCCTGCTTCACCAGTGGCTCCCTGTTGAGCGACCAAGCCAGCCTACTTGTTACCTGCATACCCAGGAATTTGATGCTGGTAACGATATCCACAGGTGAATCATTAATGCACAGAGAAGTGTGGCTGTGCCTGCTTTTTCTGAAATCGACAGTGATATCTTTGGTTTTTCCAGTATTTAAAATTGGAAGATATTAAAAAGATTTAATATCTTCTGGCTTGTAGGATTTTTGTAAGCATCTGTCAACCCTTTAAGGTAAATGTAGTCAGGAAACAGACTCCAGAAGAAATACTGGAATCCTACTTCATTGATAGTAATAGAATCTTGAAACACTTTCAGCAGAGCTAATTTAAGTTTCTCTCTAATATTCTTTTTTATTCCTAGGCTTAAATTGTATTTTGATAACTGTCACATTCCTTTTCCAAGATCATCTCTGTGATTATCTAGAGCATCTCCCCTGATATAAAAAGCTGTTAATGCAAATTGCCAGAAAATCATTTTTTAATGCTAAACGATTATTACTTTTTATTCATGTATTTTCCCAATGCAGGCTTTGAAATCATACTTTTCCCTAATGTAAGCTCCTTTAACATAAGAAATGTTCCTCATACAGTTTGAATAAATTACATCCCTTCATTGGTTTTTTGTTGTTTTTTTCCTAAAAGTTTGATTTGGGAAAGACAATGAATGGTGTTTGATTTTAAGCATCCAAGCACTGCTTGTTCCAACAGTGGAACAACCAGATATGATCCCAAAGTTGAGAATATTTGTTTATAGCCCTATTTCAGTTCTTGTCTATATGAAGTCAGAAAACAGTAAGGATTTTTTTTCTCCCTGCAATGGTTTAAAAACATGCTTTGCCAGTCCACTTTTGGTGGGCAGGCCTGTCTAAAGATACCTATGAACCTGAGGCATAAATTTGTAGTAGAGCCTCCCCCTATCTGATAATAAATAATAAATAACCAATGGTGAAAATAAATATTATCTTTCCCAATTTTAAAAGATCTACATAAAATCTCTTTCTTCCTTTTTCTCAAGTGGGGCTCCATCCTTCCTAGTTCTAAATCAAATACCTACAGTATTATACAGATAGTCCTCAACTTACTAACATTTGTAACTTTGAGTGTTTGAAGTTAATGACAGTACTGAAAAAAGTGACTTACAACCAGTCCTTACAACCATTGCAGCATCCCCCAGGATCCCAGGATCAAAATTCAAGCAACTAGCAAGTGGAATTTATTTACAACAGTTTTAGCCATCTGAGGGTCATGTGATCACCATTTATGACCTTCCCAGGGGGCTTCCAATAAGCAAAGTCAGATTTGGGGCGGAGCCAGATATATTTAATAACCAAAGTGATTTGCTTAACAAATAGGACAAAACAAGTTGTAAAATCAGGCATGACTAACAGCCACATCACTTTGTAATAGAAGTTACAGTCTTAATTGTGGTTGTAAATCGAGGACTAGCTGTAGGCGGTTCTTATGCCACCAAAATGGGAAATAACCTAAATCCTTCAGCAACCAGAGACAAATAACTAATTGCTAAGTAACAGTTCACTGAGCAAATACTTGCATTTAAATAATATCAGACTTTGAAATCATTGCTGACGCTTCAAGGAAATTTAAGTGCAGCTACAGCTATATAAAAAGCTATGTTTAGCTGTGTATATTTATAGCAAAGAGCAGCATTTATGTTACCAGGATATCAAACCAGATCAGATCAGACCATAAATTATACAGCAGTATGCTAGTCTGCTAATATCAGGAGAAACCGGCAATATGATTTCCTATATACAAAAGTTGTGTGGCCTGCAAATAATGTGATGCTGGCATGTGAAACAGCTTCATTTTCCCTTCATCTAGATCAATGTGTTTTCTGCAAGAAGAAAGCAAAGCACATTAAATGACTCCTATATTGTTCTAGTAATCTGTTTATTAGCTTGTAATACATGCATTCTCCAAGTTATAAAAATATATGTAAGGTTATACATAAGCTACAATGCGAAAAGGTATAAACTCAACTGTTGATTTATTATTGCTGCTATAAGATATTAAAAACAAATAAAATAAAGTTGGCGAGATAGAATATTGTGACTACTTTCAAAAGGATGAGAACTATCATACAAGAATTATCCTTCTGGGATAATAATCTTTAAATGTTTAATGGAAAGCTATCAAGATGATCAGCATTTAATCTAAAATTAAATGCCACTGAAGATAGGAAAAACCTACTCAAATTATTTAAATTGTAACGGGATGTATTTTGTGAATGAGTCAAACCCATGGATAATATTGAAATCATGTGATTTCCTTCTATTTAAAAACCTTGAATCAAAGTATCATCTGCTCTTAATTCCTTTGATAGTCACTCATTGAATAAGCCATAATGCAGCTTGGTTTGTTTTAATCTGTTGATATTGTAATTTATAAACCATAGTTTCTACTTTGTCAGAAGGATACATCCTAAGACTGCAAACCATACACAATTCCCAAAACCTATGTGTGAGATTTGCCAATTTGTGCAAATCTCCATACAATTCTATGGTTGTGATTTATTACCAATTTGTTCACCCTGTTGACCCATGACTGTTGTGCTAGGTTTGCCACCAATCATATTGTGAAGTTTGCAGATGATACAACAGTAGTAGGCCTTATTCATGATGACAGTGAGGGTGCAGACACAGCCACACTTCTCTGTGCATTAATGATTCACCTGTGGAAATGGTTACCAGCATCAAATTCCTGGGTATGCAGTTAACAAGTAGGCTTGGTCACTCAATAGTGAGACACTGTGAAGCGGGTACAGCAGTGCCTGCATTTCCTGCATCGCATAAGAAAAGCACATCTTCCTTCCCCTATCCTTTACAGTTTCTACAGGGGAATGATCAAGAGCATCCTGTTATACAGCATCACAGTCTGGTTTGGAAGCATCACTGCTTCAGAAAGGAAGGCCGTGCAGAGACTGGTAAGGATGGCTAAAAAAAGATCATTGACAGTTCCCTCCCTCCCATCCAGGACATAGCATATAAGCGTTACTTGAGCAGAGTCTGTAAGATCGTCTGGGACACGACACATCCTCTCACAATGTGTTTTCCTTGTTACTTTCTGGGAGGAGGCTCCATGATATCCAGAGCAGAACATCCAGATTCAGCCACAGTTTTGTTCCATACAGTATAAACCTTTTGAACTCTCAAGCTTCCTCCTTCCATTATATATTCATGATGGACAGTGTTTAATATTCATATGTTATGTATATGTAGGGGTGTAGGTCTATACATATGTTGTATGTAGTATGTATATGTTGTACATAGTATGTTTAGGTGTGTGTTGTGTATGTGTTCACTTTGAGAGTGGGCAACTAAATTTCATTTTTGATGTGTGTCATTGTGCCCATAGTAAAAAATGATAATAAATGTTATCATATGTTATCTAAAATGATAGGAAACAAGTGTGTTTGGCTTTTAAAGGAATTACTCCTTATTAATCTTAAAAACTATCTTCGACCAATCCACCACCTAGGGGATAGTCTTTCAATTACATATCAATGTATGAAGCCAGCATTGTTACTTTTGTTTAGGTTCTATTTTGTATTATCTCAAGTTGCTTCAAACTTTACAGTTCTTTGTGACCCATAACAGAATGGCTGAAGTGGGACAGGAAGAAACAGAATGATTCTAGTACTCCTAAACTGTCATGTTTGCATCTTGTATATTGTAATGAAATTATGGAAGCTTAGTACGTGCAGTTGCCCTCATTCCAGATTTTGGATTGCAAGATTATTCAAATAGGAACAGCATTTCAGGGGCATTGTCCCATGATGCTTAAGATACCATCTCTACATTATTGTACCTTATCTCTAGCAAAACACAGATGGATTATATTACAGCTGCTTTGGAATAATGCTTTAAAAATACTGAAATAAATGCATTAAAATGTGTCCCCTGATTAAGTCATAGATATTTCTTAGTCATTTCTTCCTTGGAGTTATTGGATATATATTTTTTTCTTCACTCTCTTCCCCCTGAATAATCACCAAAGCACTGCCATGTTGTAATGCATCCTTTCTCAAACTGAGTCTCTATTGGAATTACTATTCTCAAGAATAGCAAACATGATCAGGTAATCCAGTGGCTCAGAATTCTAGAAGCTGTAATTTCAAAGAAATTTAGTGGTCCTGTTGGAGAAGGCTGCATTGATGGAAGAACAATAGTTTTAGGAAAGGACAGTAACTTCAGGTTCAAAATGTCATAAAGCAAACAAGCTATTTTTTAATGAGCATTAGTTATTTTGAAATTACCTTATTATTGCCATTAGCCTCTTCATTGTTTCTTACGTGGCTCTTGTATTTGCTTCTTGTAGTATTGCCTACAGAATAGTGAATTATTCAGATTACACTTGAGCAAAACACAATATGTCTATGAAACTGCATGACCCAAAATGCTTTTATAAATGAGATAGAAACATTTTTAAAAAGGAGGAAAGTTGCTATTACAAAAGGACTGCAATATTATATACATTTATTAAATTGCTTATGAAAATTATAGAGAATTCAGAAGTGTTTATTTCCAGGTGTGTGTGTGTGTGTGTGTGTGTGTGTGTGTGTGTATGTGTAATACACACAGACACACAAAGGGACACATAAATATGTATTTGTATGTTTATTTTTGATGCACAAATGTGCAGTCTTTTAATAACTCTGGTCTGCATTTAATATTTTTAGGAAGAGTAAGGACTGCAACAGGTGGAGAAATTAACAAGCAGGGTATGGACCCAAAAGGCCAGAGTTTTATTTCCACTGAGTTTGAAAAGAAAATAGCTTTTTAAAATCTATGCTAAGACAATTTTAGGGCAAGTTCTACAATTTGTCTTATTTCCCACATCATAATGCAGGTATTGATTCTTGTGACTGGCATGGGCTCTAAGGCTGCAACAAATAATTAGGGATCATGTATCAATGGGTAGAATTGACATATCTGAACTACAACAATCCAGATGTCCTGTAAATGGCAGCAAAGAGTTTTTTGTATCCTTGTGCCATCTAATGAAGAGTTGGATTTTGGTAGCTCATTTAATGACAATCCTATTGATGGGATTTTAGAAATTCCACTTCTATTTTGCCTGATGAGCAGGGGGCTGGACTAGAAGACCTGCAAAGTCCTTTCCAGATTCTATTCTGTTCTGTTCTGTTATGTTCTGTTCTGTTCTAATTCTAAAATAGGAGACAAGAAATGGAATCAAGGAATAATAGGCAAGAAAGGGAATCACACGTGTTCTGCTGACAAAAGATCACCCAATCCAAAGCCGTTGTGTCCTTTGGGAAAAATATCACAATTGCCATCAATAAAGTTTGCGCTAAATAAATGTTTCTTTTTTTTTTCAAATGTTCCAAAATTCTGTGCTGCTTGTCCTGTATTCTTTTGGAAAAGAAATAAGTAGTTTCAGACCGTTAATTTTCTCTATAAGCTAGCATTTGAATGATAACTTTTTTTCCACAAATTTCTCCACTCTTTGTGAAAATAACACTTTCTATCAAATGACTTGGTTTTATGGGAAGAAAGGGTGAATACTTGAAAAATGCCACATTTTATTTTACAGAAGAGGCATCCACAGGAGGCAGAGAAGGAGGTGTCAAAAAGTCATGACATTGTCATGATGAACATAGTTGAATCCCTCTCCATTTTCTTATATGTGTTACTGGTTCAGTATTTGTTAAAAAGGAGCAGGGATTTAGATGAAGTGTTTGGGGAAAAGTCCAGCATGATAATTACTCAATAGAAAAAAAAGGCAGAAGGCATAATTGTATGGGTTTATAATTTTTGCATTGAAAAATTATATACATGGAGTTGGACTTTGCAGGTGTCATTTTGACTTTTTGAGAGTCCATCTTGACCCCCCCATTGTGGATATCCTTTTGTTTTGTCTCTAATCAAGGAAAACTAAATGTAAGGAATAAATTGTGAAATTCGGGACAGACAGAATGAAGTGTTTCACATCAATATGAAAATGTAACTGAAGATCAATAATGGAATTTCTTTTCATTATGTTTGGTGATAATTCCTGAATTAAGTACCATTGAATCAGAACAGTATCAAGACATTCATTTCCATCCTTCTTAATTAAGACTTTAGGATGCATGATTAGCTTTTAAATAGTTTTAAAAGGAGATTAGAGAGAGGAATAAACTAGAGAAACAGATGAGGATTAGCTCATTAATGACCTGGTTGTCTGTTTTCTATAACAGGATGCTAGGTTAGATAGCTCTTTAATCTAGAAGAATTCTTGAATTGTGATCTGTTATACTCTACGTATACCTACAGTGAAATGTTATAAAATATATCCACTTTATTTCATTCTATAATTTCTGTATTCATAGAAGCAATCTGAATAATTTGCATTTCATTTTTCCTTTCAGGGCTTACTTGTGGCAACTATTTTCTGTTTCTTCAATGGAGAGGTAAGCAAATAAACTTCATTTCATGTAATTTAACAATGCCATTTAGCCCTAGTATGTTAAGTAGAATTCACTTTAGATTAGCTTGGAAAACAAAACAAATTGTTCCCAACAAATGACAGAAATACCTTGGTTGACATTTTGAGCCAGGTCAATTTTAGTCATTGATCAGAAAATTATCTTTTAACATTTAGCTTAATACTGCACGCATGGTTTACTAATCCATTTTATCTCTGCTGTTTTAGTGGTTACCATTTGTGTTAATTTGTTGTGTTAATACATTGTATAAGGATTTTTGTGAGCTTTTATTATTGCCTTGTTACTCTGCAACCCACTGCTGTAATGTGACTAATGAAAATACAATGAAGAAATGAATCTTTAGGAAATTAATGAAATCTTTAGGATGAGGTAGGAAAAAAGTGCTGATTTCAGTATGGGGAAGTACAGCAAAAGATTTTAATCCATGTTACAGATAGGCCTTGACTTATGGACATTTATTATGATAGTGGTAAAGTCTTAGAACTGATCCTCACATTTAAAACCGTTGCAGCATCCCCATAGTCACCTGATCAGAATTTGGCCTCTTGGCAACCAGCATGTATTTACAATGATTGTTGCAGCTCAGGGTCACTGGGTCACAGTTTACAGCTTTCCCAGCCAGTTTTTAACAAGCATAGTCAACATAGGAAGCTGGATTCACTTAACAATCATGTGATTTGCTTAACAACCATGGCAACAATTGGGAGGACTCACTTAATGTCCATCTCACTTAGTGACAGAAGCTCCAGTCTCAATTGTGGTCATAAGTCAAGGGCTACCTATAAATTAAAATTCTGAAGGTCCTAAATATTAAATGTTCACAGCAAGAATTCACCAACATCAAGAATAAGTGTTTTTAAAAGTTTTGGTATGACTGGATTCATGATAACTATTAATAGTGCATAGATTAATTGATACAGTTGCTTACAACAGCAGCTACAGTCATGTTCAATTGTCCATATTTACATAATCTGAAGCGACTCCTGGGCTGGGGGAAAAAAACTACTGGGACCATATGTCTTCCATTTATCTTCCCCTGGATTAAATTATGCTTTTGGTACTGAATTGTATATCCCTACTCCAGATGAGGCTGTGGAGAACTTATCAAGGTCTAGTGGCTTTGAAGGTCTGGATTGGTTGAAACATTCTGAAGTTGAATTCAAGAAAAACAGATTTGGAATTTGTCGATCATGACTCTCTGCCAGCTCCAAAATTTCTCCCCATGGGAGTGACACTATCTATGATTGATTTGGGATATGTGATTTGGTGATTCTCCTGGATTCATGGCTGCTGATGGACCAGTAGAAACAGATATGACTTTTACATATATCTAGAACCTGCAGATCCTGATATAGTAAATCATGTCCTCACTAAATCACTATAGTAAATCACTGTGCATTTAGATTGCAGTAACATGTTCTGTGTGGGGCTGTTTAGATCAAAATACAAGGGGAGAAGGAATATGACAACCCACTTGCTAGCAGGCTTCCAGAAATATATAGCACTGGTATTGTGGACAATGCATTGGCTCTCAATAATTTCACAGATACAATTCAAAATTCTGGGTTTGATCTATAAATTCCTAAACCATACTAAAAGAGACTATTGATTGTCCTAATTTCATAATTTGAGTGAGGATAAATCTGGAGTTGTTTTTGATCAGAAGTGGAAAAATAGCTCCCCTTGGGCCCAGCCTTCCTATGGAAAGCCACCCCTTGCTTGTTAAATTATCCCCTTTAATATCATTCCAGTAGATGACAAAAGAAGAGCACTGCCAGAGACACCATTGATTGTTTCTGTTGTTATAATTTTTTTTTTTTTTGTTGGCTTGATAATGTTCTAACAAATTGTTGTTTAAATTTAATTTAGCTTTAATTTAATTTTATTTGATATGGATTTTAATTAACTGTGAAAGCACTGTGAGTTCTAGGTAAATAAGCACAATAAATTAATAATGTCTCAAGGTCTTTTTGCAATTCTAGTATTCTAGCAATTTGAATATAGAAGAAATTAAAGGCATGAGGATCATGTCAGTTTATTTTTAAGTCTGTCTCTTGATCCCTAGCATCTTTGCCTTTTGCTCTTATAAACAAAAATGGAAAAAGTCTGGTTTTTGACCAGAAGAAAAGTATACATAGCACTGAAGCTATCTCAACATCGTAGGCAGGCTTTCTGTCCCAGTGGTTCCTGGGAGTGGAGGCAGCCCTTTCGGACTGGGCAGTCCTGGGATTGGTTCAGAGGCTTGCGATCTTTTCTCCCCAGGCAGAATCACCAACAGGACTGCCAGAACATTGCAGCCAAGGGCCAGCTCCAGTCTAAGCGTCCCTTCAGGGGCTCTGGGAGCCGTACCTATAGGCGGTCCAAGTGACACCATGGAGGACTCTCCCATAGGGGGTCGCTTGGCACTGTTCAGTGACGTTTGGGAGGTCACCACCACTGCTCTTGGGTCAGGGAGACCACAAAACATAGGCTCACCTTAGAGTTTTATTCACCTCTTCCAGATCGCTTCATCCAGTGCCCAGTATCTCAAAACACAACCAAAGCAAAATTAGTAGCCACGGCCATTTCCCATTGGTAGAAATCAGGGCAATAGAGCCCATACCATGGGAACAGGAAGGAGAGGAGGTTTCCTCCATCCTGTTCATGGTCCCCAAAACCTCAGGGGGAAGGAGGGCGATAGTGGACTTAAGGGGTCTAAACCATTTTGTGACACACAGAAAGTTCAGGATGCAGCCCCTGAAGTCCATCCTGGCCAGCATCAGGAAAGGGGACTTTCTCTTCTCCATAGACAGAGGCACACCGGCACATACTGATACTTCCAAACCATCGCAGGTTCCTTCGGGTTTGTTACGTGCGCCGGCATTACCAATACAGAGCTTTTCCCTTTGGTCTTCAAAGGGTCTTCACTAAAGTTTCTGGCAGTATTGGTGGCCCACCTCAGGATGATGCCGGTGTGCGTACAATGTTACCTGGACGATATCTTAGTACAGTCCAGTTCCTTCCAGTCGGCTCTGTCAGAGCTGGTAATCACGATTCATACCCTTCAGGTCCACCAGTTCTTCATGAACTTCAAAAAGAGCCACACGATCTCCACAAAGCGCCTCCTCCATCTAGGGGCGCTTATAGATTCGGACCTTTGCAGGTTTATCTTTCTCAGGAGCATCGGATCAGCATCCGAAAGCTCGTGCACCAGGTTCGGAGAGAGAGAAGAGTGACTTTGGTCTAGCTGTCTCAGCTCTTGGGAAAGATGGTTTCTCGCATGGTGTTCGTTCCATGGGCCAGACTTCACTCCAGAAGTCTCCTATGGTTTCTCCTTCGTTTCCAGAAGCGGAACCTCAGTTTGTTTACCTGAAAGGTCAGGATTCCTCATCACACTCTATTGCCTCTCCTTTGGTGGGCGTCATCCACAATGTCCAAGGGGACCAATTTCAGGGAGCACTCAGGCTTACCTTGACTACAGACGCCAGTCTGTTTGGTTGGCGTGTCCATCTTCAGACTCATCTTGCTCAGGGACAGTGGTCCCGATCGGATCTAGTCCACAACATAAATTGGCTCGAACTCAGAGCCATTCACTTAGCTCTCCGTCGGTTTTTCCTCCCTAGTGCTGGGACAGCACGTCCTGGTTCTGACAGACAATGTGGCAGCCAAGGCTCACGTCAACAAACAGGGAGGGACCCAGTCCTGGTCACTCATGCAGGAGGCCTTGGAGCTGGGTCTATGGGCAGAGTCCATTCTGGGTTCCATCAGGGCGGAACATATATTGGGGGAAGCGAATCAGCAAGCAGATTCCCTGAGCAGGGTCACAGTAGACCAGTCAGAGTGGCGACTGGACCCGGCAGGGACATCTTGGTCAGGTTTGGCCAGCCACATCTGGATCTCCTTGCCTCTCTGATGAATGCCCAACTTCCCAGATCCTTCTCCAGGTTTCCGACAAAGGGGGCAGAGGGAACGGATGCCCTCCGGTGCAAGTGGCTGAGGAGTCTGCTCTATGCCTTTTCTCCCCTCCTGTTGTTGCTGGCAACCATTCGCAAACTGATTCAGGAAGAGGCGGAGATAATATTAATTACTCCACATTGGTTTGCTGACTTTGTGGAGCTATCTCTCTCACCACCGTGGAGGATTTCCCCAGACCGAGTGGCTCTCAGCCAAGGGAACCTTCAACATCCAGATCCACAGTGGCTCCAGTTGGCCGTTTGGCACTTGAGCAGGAAAGTTTAGCTAGGCAATCCTATTCGTCAGGGGTGATCTCAATGATCTAAGCCACCCCTCGACCAATAGGATTTATGACGCCACATGGAAGAACTTCTGCAGGTGGTGCACTAAACAGCAGCTCAGGCAATTATCTGTAACCATTCCTAACATATTGTAGTATCTTTTGGAAGGTATGAATAAGGGGCTCTCACCTAATACCATCCGCAGACAGGTTGCGACCTTGCAAACGGTTCTTACCTGTGACAACCTGGTCCCCTTATCACATCATCCAGCTGTAAGCGCCTTTCTGAAAGGAGCGGTTAACATCAGAACACCTGGGGTCTGTCGTTATCCCTCTTGGGACTTACCACTTAGCACTACAAGTGCTACAAGCCCTAACCTCTCCGCCGCTCGAACCCCTCGGGTCTTGTTCTCTTCATTTCCTTTCCTTAAAGGTAGTATTCTTGGTGGTTATTACATCAGCCAGACGGATTTTGGAATTGGCCGCACTCGCAGTTTGGAGTGACTTGTGTACATTTTTTTGAGGATAGGATGGTCCTTCGTTTGGACCCTTCCTTTGTTCCAAAGGTTAATACTTGGTTCCATAGGTCACAGGTCATAGTTCTTCCAGATTTTTTGTCCTAATCCTTTGCATCGTCTGGAGAGACAATGGCATAAGTTAGATGTGCGCAGGGCTCTGCGTCATTATGTTAAGCGGACCTCGGCTTTCCGTAAATTGGAGGCCTTGTTCGTGTCCTTTCGGCCCTCTGCCATGGGTCAGAAAGTGTCCTTCAGCCATTGGTAGATGGATCAGGGCATACATTGCTAGGACCTACCTTTCTCAGTCACTTCTGGTTCCTATACATATCACTGCTCATTCGACGAAAAGCACAGCTGCGCCTGCATCCTGGTCCACCCAGGCATCGATCGAGGAGAGTTGTAGGGCAGCGACCTGGTCCTCCACTTCTTCCTTTGTGCAACACTACAAGATTGATAGGTTTGCTGCGGCGGATGCCTCGTTGGGTAGGAGAGTTCTGCAGCAAGTAGTTTCTTCTCAGGACACACAAGCCTAGACTTCCCTCCCCGTAGGGACATGAAGGAGCTTTGGTATGTCCCACCGGTGGATTCTACATTCATCATGATGGAGAAGGGCGTTGTCTTACCTGAACGCCTTTTCTCAGCATGATGATGTAGAACCCACACCCTCCCTTAAGGCAGTTTAGGCAGATGTCATGTTAATTGGAGCCATTGTGTCAGACTTCGTCTTGGATGCTTCGCCTCGTCAAAAACTGGAGGACACTCCCAGAGGGAGGCATGGCTAAAGTTCTGACTTAGTCTATTCTGAGCAGGAAGGCTGATAATACCCACCGGTGGATTCTACATCATTATGCTGAGAAAAGGCGTTCAGGTAAGACAACGCCCCTTCCAATTGCTGACAGGTGTGCCACTAAGGTTCTGACTGGACACCTGCATGCTCTCAGGACACAAAGATTCATTCTTCATTCTTCATAGAGCGGTATTGTGGATTAATTAAATTTTTCTGGGTTCTGATTTTAAGGTGAGTATCCTGAGCTATGGAGGCCTTTGATCTTCTTCTTAAATACATAATAATAAAATAATGAGAACTAAAGGCTCAAAGGGAAGGCAGATGAGAAAGAATAAGACCTTTTGGGATCTTCAATTCCCTTCCTGTTAAAAGTTCCTTAATAAGGTTTGCTCTTCCTTCCTAACATAAAGGTGGTTTTTCCAGAAAATATGTGAAGAGCTGTAATTAGTGATTTAACTATGTTTTCTTTTTGGCTGTGTTTTAATTTATATATCATGTATGTTTAAGAAAGGAGGAACTGCAGAGGTAGAAGTGGTCAATATGGAGGCTGCACTTTGCCCTCCAGATCTTTGTCTCCCCTGCAGATTCCTGGAGAGGAGGAGGGAGTGGCAGGGGAGCTGTGTGAGGGAAGGCTGTCCCCAACAAGCCAGTATCCTTACCACAATTGGAAATGGGAATTCCCTTTCGAGAAGGGCCAGCCTCCTTTGTGCAGAACCCAGGAATGCTGCTCTCCTGCCACCTCCTCTTGCTCTCCAGAGATCTGTCAAGACAGAAGTTGGACTCAGAGGAAACTGCTTCCTGCAAATGTCCTCCACCTCCTGCTTTGCCGGGAGGGGGCACTGGACAGGGAAACACCAACGATGTCTGGGATTGGGAAAAGAACATCTCTTTAGTGTGCTACACACACACACACACACACACACACACATACACACACACACACACACACACACACACACACACACTCTTCAAGGTTGGAGACTTGTATCCACATCTGAGCTAGCAAATTGCCAATCATGCCTATGCTTGGGGAGAAGGCCCTCTCCTTCCTCTGTGGATAAAGATCCCCAAACCTGAATGTGGTGTGTCTGTGTCTGTGTGAGCGTGCATGTGCATGCGCTTGGCTGCTAGCAGTTTGCGGAGGCAAGGAGTTTGTGGGGCACTGAGTTGTCCCCACATTGAGTTAGCTGGTGTGACTTGTTCCATTCTGACCCGGCTGTCTTGAGTCAGCTGTGTCCAGTGAGTGGTGTCAAGCAGGCCGCGCCCACCTGCTAGGCGACTGGTGGTACTCGAATATTGCCATGTCCTAAAAGTGGTACAATGTCTGAAAAGGTTAAAAAGTCCTTCTCCAGAGCACCTAAGGGCAGGAAAAGAAGCAATAAGTAGAAGCTCTTTAAACACAGATCCAACCTGGAACTAAGGAGAAATTTCCTGACAGTGAGAACAATTAATCAATGGTGGAGTTTGCCTCCCAGAGTTGTGAATCTTGGACATTTTCAAGAAAATATTGGGCATCCATGTGCCCATGATAGTATAAAGACTGCTGTCTTGAATTGGGACTTTATATATATAAAATCACTGAAAGCATCCCTTTTTCTCAACTTAATTTTAACAATATAACTATGAGGATGGGAAGATATCTGAACAAATCCCTCATTTTCAATTTTTTCCAGTGAAGCTTTTCTTAAAGAAAGAAATCAATTCCCTTGCAGCAAAAGGAGATTAACTATAACAAGATGGAAGTGACATTTTATCATAAGATGAATTGCATATTTCTGGGCCATTGTACACTAAGAGACTGAAGGATTTCAAAAGTTTTTATTCTGTATTGACATTTGGAACAAATATTACAGATTTAGTTATTTACAAATTCTCAGTACTAGTTTTATCTAGAATATCAACATTTTAATAGGAACAAGATTAAATTAAATATTAATGCTTCAATATAAATGAGAAAATAAAATATGCTGAATCTGTATCTTTACATATTTAAAAGTAAATCCGCTGAAATTAATATTTCATTAATTACAAGTCCACTGTATATAATTAAATCTGCATTCAACCCAAACTTACTTTATAAGAACAGTTTGATAACTCAAAAATCAGAAATCATGTATCATAGATGTTCGCATTTGGATGACTGCACTGAATGAGGAATCAGATTCAATGGCCTTCCAATTCTTTAACTTGGTGATTTTAATCTATTGGCATTTTTATTTAATCTTCATTTTTAAAAAAAGGTTAGAGGATGGGAAGACATTAAACTGAGATTTATGGGTAGTCCTGTAAGATTTTTTGTTATCAAGAGCAACAAATAAAAGTTTTACCCTCAAAATATAAATATGTAAGTAGGTTGTTGGGTGGTAGGGGAGCATCTCAGAGAAAATCCAGGAGAGAATTTCTATGTGGAAAGAAAATTGGTATTAATAAAAAAAAAGTTACTAAATGGAATGTGAGTTCAATACACCCTGCTACTTAATTCATAGGACTGCATATATCTCTATTGAGCTGGTAAGTCTCAAGTTTCTAGGATTTTTTTCTCTTTTCTTTCTGTTTGAGAAACATCACATAGGTCAACCCATAATTTGACAGTAAATTAAAGACAGGACTTAGTCATTTAATAAGAATAAGTTAACAGAATTCAGATATAATTAATGGCACTTCTATATGCCAATTGTTTTCATTCCCCTATTCCACAAAATAATGTAAAATCATCTATATTTTTGATGATCTAGAACAGCGGTTCTCAACGTTTGTGTGACGGCGACCCCGCCACACAAACGTTATGCGCATGCGTGGCGCGGTGCGCATGGGGTGGGGCCCCCCATGCGTGGCGCGCATGCGCGGCGGCGGCCCTGGAGGGGAGAAAATGGTGGATCGCCGCCTTTGGCGACCCCCGAAAAATGGTCGATCAACCCCAAATGGGGTCGCGACCCATAGGTTGAGAACCGCTGATCTAGAAACATCTAGAAATAATGACTGAGAAGAACTTTCACATCTCAAACTTCTATAGTTTGTGGATTTTCCTGAAATAATCAGGAAAAGCCTGCTTTACAAAAAAGGAAAGCACAACTATGACTTTTGGCATTTGCTAAAGAAAAGTAAGAGTTAAACAGTTTCATGCCTATAAAGATCATAAGCATTCTTTCTCTTTTAAAGATTTAATAGCTTAAAAGAAGTGAGGTCAGAATTTCCTTTAATAGCCAATCATTTCTATGGCTAATGTAACCAGAGATATGCAATGACTCTGAGATTTCACATATGTGGCAACTGAGTCAAAAAATAAATTTCCTAAATTTTTCAGGGTTACCAAATTTGTGGAATTCTGTATGTCATTTAACTTTCAAACTGGTGTAATAGCCTAAATTCAATCCCACCTAGTGAAAAAGCATGAAGCTAAATAAGATCTTCCTTCAATTTAAAGAAAGGTGTCTTCAAACTTTTTTCATAGTTCTCAGCCTGAAATTCATGTTACCTGTTATGATCATTGCCAGGAAAGGGGATTTGTAATGGCTGGCATTTTTCTCTTTTGTGAAAACATTTTTGAAAGGAAGACCAGAAGATAACAAGATATATATGCTTTCTATAAACATCCCAGATACATTTGTAACATAAAGTTTAATCTACATGCTCTATAGAAATATTCTTGATGTTGCAATTTCAGTGTTGTCAGATTTATGCAGCCTGACCATTCTGTGAAGGTAGCCATTATCCTCTAAAGATGAGGAGAAGATAATACCTGAGATTTGAGGTGTAGGAAGAGAAAGTTGTTTCAGTCTGATTTTTAACAATTTATTCCTAATAGAGGATAAATGAGAGTGAGTTATTACCAACCAAGGATGATATCATTTCAGAAAAAGAGCACTACTCTAAAAAAGAACATCTTGAAGAACCCATTTTTATTCACTGTAACACAATATTAGAAAGAAAGTATGAGAAAGGGCTTAAGACTGCCCATCAACAGGCTAACACTCTGACGGCTAAACAGAATGGAACCAAATTTGGTACGGTAGAAGAAACCAGCAAAACAGCTGAGCTAAAAATGGCCCAGATGTTGAGGTACTCTGTGGAGGGGAAAAATCATTTAAAAAATTCCCAGTGGACCTCTGTGTGAGAGGTGGTTGGACTGTCACCTGGAAAAACTGGGCTCTTCTGCACTCTAAGCCTTCCCTCTCTCTTCCTATTCAATCACATGTCATAGCCCAAAGCGAAATTACCGTTAAGAGATCGGGGAAAACTTTTAGAAGTCATGCTCTGCGTGATTTCCTCCTTTGTTCATATCAAACCCCTGATGTTCACCAGGTGGAGCCAAGAAATTATCAATGATTGATTGAATGAATGTCCTGTGAATTTATAGAGAGATCAGTTGCAAATGAGTATCCCTTAGAACTGGCCATATAACACACTCTGGATTGAATTGCCCCTGCATCAATGGGCCACAATCATTTGGAAAAATTAATTTTCCTGTTGTTTACTTCCAACATAGCTGTGGGAGAGTGTTAAAATGAGCCAAGGATGAAGCTCTTCTAAATTTGAAACAAAGATTTTGTCCAAATGGCTGACTGATTTACTGTATATTTTGGACATTGGTTATTAATGAATACGTCAAAGCTATGTGATCAGTTTGCCTTCTACACTTTGCTAATAATCTTCCTTTGATTCAAAATTGAATTGGCTTCCTAGTGGGGTTTTTTTTCAGGTGGAATTAAAATTGTCTCCTATAACTAAAGGGGTCAACCAACCTGGACTATACAATATAACAAATCCTTACAAATGTAAAAATAATAATCTAAAAGCCAGATTCAACTCTAGTGGTTCCTTCTTCTTTCCTAAATACTACATTTGAAATGCAGCACTGGATCTGGGAAATATTTTCCAAACTTTGGATTGAACTTTCTCTAATATTACCATTTCACTGTATGGCCTTAATTGAATCCCAGGAAATAAGTGGGCATAAGCTTTAGCAGCTAGAATGAATTGGTTAAAATAGTTGATTAAAATAGAAAGCTTGTATAACTAAGGATGATCTGAATGCCCTTTGAGATAGTGATAATAAGCATTTCTGATTCAGAAGCTTGGAAAAAACTATCCCTAAACATTGAAATATTGCTTACTGGTACATCTATCATCCTAGTTCTATGACTTTAGGAACATTGGAACAGGAACTTACAGGACCTAGAGCACGGGTGTCAAACTCACCACGTCACATGACATGTTGCGATGTATCATGACTGTTTGCATTGCTGACAATGGGGTGGGTGTGGCTTCGGTATGATGAAACCGACCTGCAGGCAGGCAGTTTGACACCCCTGACCTAGAGGACCTAGATTTGAAGAATAAATCACACCTGAATGTATGGTGCCAACTAAGAATTACAGATCAGAATTGATGCACAAGTGGTAGTTGGCATGTATGGATCATATAAAAATCTTTGGAAGGAGAATCAGGAAGACAATATAATAAAAGTCATATCTGAAAGACTTCAAAATTCCTTTATGTGAGACTGTGTTATATTGGTTCCACATTGATTGATTGTTGGCTCTATGTCACAAAATATAGATTAGCTATAACGCTACCTTATAAAAAATAACTCTTTAGCAGGGCTAGTTCCATTCTTCTTGGAATTGCCAGTTAAGTGACTTTTGTGGAATTCTTTTGACCTCTTTTCAAAGATTCACTGGGGCTTAAATTATACGGTGTGAACTTACTGTTTTCTTTCTTTTTTTACTATTTATATCCTGGACAATAACTAACTCTCTCCAGCAATTTGCAAGTTAAAAAATATTAAAACCATTACCACAAGGAGCAGTATATCTCCTCTGAGAGTCATATATTGGATAGCTAATATTTTCTTTTCTCCA